TTTTTTTTTTTTTTTTTTTTTTTTTTTTGGTACCGGGGATCGAACTCAGGCCCTTGTGCTCTCGAGGCAGGCACCGGAACCTCTGAGCTAAATCCCCAGCCCTCCAGCAATTCTAAATAGGGATCTCCCAGGCTGCCCAGCTCTGTCTGTCCCTTCCATTCTGGATTTCCTGCTGCCTCCAGCCTCACCAGGAAAATGACTTTGTTCATGGTCTTCCTATTTCAGGGCTAGCCTTCAGCTTCCTCTGCTCCCAGACCATAGAACCTCTGATGTTTGTTGGATCTAGACTACACAACCTCCAGGCTAGCTTGGTTCTAGGCTGAGCAACCTCTGACCTTTCCTGGTCCTGGACTGTACAGCCTCCAGCATGGTCTGCTATGACCTCACGTCCTTCAAACCCCTGATTCCAGATTTCCCAATCTTTAGCTCTTTCTCACGCTGGACCTCAGAACCTCCAATCCTGCCCGTTTTCAAAAACCTTACGAGTTTCAAAAATTGATGTGAGCTACACAACCTCTAACTCCCTCTGGTTCTACAGCCTATGACCACCAGATTCTGTTGGTTCAGGAATTCGTTCTGTAACTTCCTCTTGTTCTAGACCTCCACAATGCCAAGCTTCCAGTTGGTTCTAGTCTTCCTGACCTGAAGTACACTTGCCTCCAAATCCAGACCTCCTAATTCCTAAACCATTTTGATTCCAAACCACACGATGCCTCACATCATTCCTCTTCAACACTCTGCACTCATCAAAGAGAAGTAAAATGAACTTGATATCTAGTTCTACCAGAGACATACAAGAAACACATGCCATTTCTTAGGTTCCAGACCTTATGGCCGCCACCATTCACCAGTTCTAGACCTTGCAACCTCTGAGGTATTCTAAGCTGCAAATGTCTTATAACTCTAGACTGCATTCTGTAAGTTCCCTTGGTTGTACACTTTACCATTCCCAAACCCAGATGTTAGAACCTCAAACTGGCCTGGTCTAGAAGTCAGCCTTCAAACATCTGCCTTATAAATGTTATGTTTCTAAAGCTTACAACCTCAATTCTTCTGATTCTAACTCTTATGACCAAAATCCCTCTGGTTCTGCAGTCTTTTTCTTATTTGTCATTCTATAAATCTGTGTGGTTCTAGGCCACACAGCTTCCAACTGCCCCTGGGTTTAGATCCAAATTCCTTGGGTTCTAGAATTCTGACTCCAAATGCTTCTGATTCTAAAATCTAGACTTATCCTGTAGATTCTTCTGGTACCAAGTCTTATAAACCCTGACACCCCCAACTCCATACCCCACCCTCCTTACCCCGTTCTGGGCTTCCTGCCCCACTGAACTTGCCCCAGTTCTTGCCCTCAGTCGTAAGTCTTCCAATTCCAGATCCCCACCCCCAGGCCCTCTGCTTATGAACTTCATGCTCAAGCCTCTCCATCTCTTATCGCCAAGATCTCTCTGTCCTAGAACCCCTCTGACTCCCCACCGCAGCCCTTCAGACATGCACTTAGCTTGACGTCACCCAGGTGTCTAGGGGGCCTGCCCCCATTGGGGGCTCACAATCCAGACTTCTCCAGCTGCATACTTTGGGGTAGGAGGAGATAGGCCAGGACTTCAGCTCTCTGCCACCAGCTGTGTCCTCCTAACCTCCAGCTGCCTTCGATGATGGTGCTACTCTTGGTCTAAAACTGCCCCTTCTCAACCCCTTCACCCGCTCTTTGGGAGGCACCGCTCCCTCTGATTAGTTGGGGGGTGGCCTGTCCAGATTGGTGCTATGGGGGAAAAG